ATGTTAAATGTATAATATGTTTATCTCAATCTACAATATATAGATGTTATAAATATACATACTTAATACATTCTATTCTTATATTTAATACTTATTACATACATTACTGCACAAATATGATTTTGATTAAAATATACGTATATTTATTTATACGAAATGTTTTAAATAGAATTAAAGTAAAAACACTTAGAGAATCAAGTGATCAAAAAATAATTATAATAATAATAATTATTAACACGTTAAATTCCGCATTTGTCATTAATGGCCAACATTGGTTGTTTATGCCATTGTGACATAAGAAAAACATTCTTAAAAGAGGCTTGATAGTCAACGTGTCGTTAATATTTATTAGTTGTTAATACACTTTATATTTAGGTGATATTAAAACAAAAAATAAAAGTGATTATTCGTATTTTTTTCGAAAATCATTTTCCTTGGATGAAAATTGTTTCCTTTGGAATGAAAATTCTCCAATTTACGATCAAAAGAATAATGAATAATTCTAATAGCAAATACAAATAATCTTAAACTATATTAACTAAATACTTATTAGTAAAATAATCATAGAAGAACGATTATTATTATTAATATTATTAGCATTATTATTATTATTTACAATTATATAAAAACTTGATTCTAGTATAATAGTGTTTATTCCAATTCTAATATGAAAACAGTTATATCTTAATCAAATTCTTTTCGTAACTATAGCGAATTTCTTTCTTAAAATTTAATTTATGATTCTTATTTAATATTGCTGACAAATCAATTAACTGAAAATTATAATTAAACTCTACGTTAAAGTAATATTAAAAAATTAATATTAAATAGGAACTATTTTGCTGTAATGCGTACACATACATAATCTTGTTTATTTTTTTCTACTGAATTTCAAGATATACATGATTCGAATGTCGATTGAACTGTCGAATGTGTTAGGTTTTTCGTTAAGTTCCTCAATTAAAAGACATTCGAGATCATTCTCATCTAAAATATTCTTATTCTATTATGAAATTTGTAAAATCATGATTGAGTTATATTTTGAAATCCTAATTGTAAGTTTCTATTTCTTATCAGAAACATGATTTCTATTATGATAAGCTTATGTTGCTCCAATGTTTTCATTTATTGATTTTATTAAAAGAAATTTCGAGAATTTAATTGTTTATGTGTTTCGGCAATAAATTTTAAAACGTAAATTAGAAAATATTTGTGAATAATGCAGGTCAATATAATTTCTCTATTGTAATTTTTGACGAAAACTTAAAAACATGTAATTTTTTTGTATCGACCTAATCTACATCTACACATAATTATATCTAAATCGAACGAGTCGCAATTTTTTTCGAAAAGAAAAAAAGCAAAATATTAACCCCCATTTATAATTTTGATTTATAAAATCATACAAACGAATTAAACAATTTTTTATTCTCCACATAATATGAAATTATTTTCTTTCTTTAAGAGAAATGAATTTTAGGGATTAATAATAAAAACAAACGACAAGAATGTGACCCTTCTTGAAATAATTTGCACTTAATTTCCGATTAATAATTTTTCTCAATTATAATAAAATGTTAAATCGAATCAATTTTGTTTAACAAATTTTGAATATACTTTTAACTACAATTTAAACAGAAATCTATATATAATTAATAAGATATTTTATTTTTTAATTATAAATAATATATTTGATTATTTCATTCCAAATTACTGAAACTAAAATTCATACCAATCAAGATTGGATGTCGCAAATCATACTAAATATCACACATGAAATAACAAATCCAAAGGTTAACAAATGTAAAAATTTAATAATTGAAATATTTTATATATTCATATAAAAATCAACATTATTAAATTACACAAAGAATTAAAATAAAAAAAAAAAAAAAATGTTATAAAATTTTGTTTTACGGGCGAAATCACAATTGAATATCCTAATTACTTTATGAAATTAAAATAATCTTTACTTTATTTTTCCTCTAGAAAAAATTTTATTCAACGTTGAAAGACTCTAATCAATAAAAATAAAACCTGCACGTTATCTATAATTGAAAAATGATGATTTATCCAAGAAGGGTCTAAAAAATTTATTTAATATATAAATATAAGTAAAATTTTTCTAATGTATTTATACAAGAATGTACAATAAATATTTATCACGATAATAAAAAAAAAAAAAAAATAATCGTATTCAAAACTTCACTCAGACGCCGACTATCGTTATGGAATTTTCGGGAAATTTAGTACCAAAAAAAATTCGATATTTTCCAAGATTTTGGACTATTCGTACAAATATTTTTAATTTGGTTAGAAAAAAGAAAAAAAAATTATTTTCAATCAAAAATGTTGCAAGTAATGATATAATTTTTTCATCGTAATCGTGATGATCTAATAATAGAAAACTATTGATGTCTAACTTTACTTTCAACGTTTTTTTTATCAATAATTTTAGAGTGTCGTTTTAGATCTATTTTTCTTTTTTAGATATAACTTCGTTCAGTTCATTGAACGAAAGATATTACATAGATATTTATATGTATTTTTTTTATACAAACTTTTCACAAGTGTTGTATGTAATTTTTTTTTTTTTTTAATTTTAAAAAAATTCTTTCCCCCCGCTCCGGATTTTTAAGTATTTTTTAATTTTTTTTTTTTTTATTTGCTTGTAAATTTGTAATATTTCTAAATTTTCGAAGGTTAGACGTCGCAGTAATTTTTAATATCCCCGATCGATCATTATTATAATCTTAACAAGAACTATTTAGTCGAAATTTTATTGATCGAAGATACTATTTTGTGAGAGCAACTTTTCTATTGGATATACAAAGTAAATTAATGATAAACAAATTGAATTGATATTGTTCGAAAAATCATAATTCTTTCAATGAATAAGATTGAAAGCACGAATCTAAAAAAAATGTCTAATGAAATATGCGATGTCGACGTGTCCCTTCGAAGATTAAAAAATATAAAAGTAAATTTAAGATAAGAGATAGAAAAATAAAAAGTCGAAATAAGAAAAGTCCAAAAAATAAAAAAAATGTAAAAAAAAATAAAATTGCGACTCGTTCGAATTTTGTCGTTTGTTTTTTAATACTTGTCTAATGTAACAAATAAAATTATATATCTGATTATTTATTAAAAATGAAAAAAGAAAGATGTACGTACAATGAGAAAACGTTGAAGTATCCCAAAGTATCGATCCATAGTTAAATTCCGTAGTCAGGCAAGCAATTTTGTTCTCTCACGTTGACGATTAGCCAATGTTCGTCATCGTTGTTTAATTTATAATTAGAATCATTCACCAGTTTCATAGCCGTTGTTTATGATTGAATATGCAGCATAGACATATCTTTGATCACGTTCTTAGAGAGGACGCATTTTTGGAATACCTGTTGTGGTCATCTCCGTCGCGTTTTCTATTGTTATTATGCTTGTTGTAAGATTTTTTCTTATGCGTATCCATATGTTTCACCATATGATCCTTCCTAATGAAACCTTTGTCACAAATGTCGCAAACGAAGGGTTTAGTCCCAGAGTGAAGGCAACTATGACGCCTAAGATCCGTTTTGTGGTTAAACTGTTTCGGACATTCTTCGCACTTGTAGGGTTTCTCACTTCCGTGTTTCACCTGGTGTTTGAGATACTGTGTCTCGTTGGAAAATCTTTTACCACAAACAGAACATTTATACGGTCTGTCCCCGGCATGGAAACATTTACTATGCTGCGTCAAGTAGCATGGTTTGTTAAAAGTTTTTGGACAGTTTTTACAAATATATTTTATCTTACCGGACGGGTTAATTGTCGTATTCGGTTCATTTTCTTTTCTATTTTGACTATTTTCGCCACCATTTTCTTTACAATCTTGATGATGTCGTTCGGACAATCGACGGCGATTTGCATTTCTTTCTTGTTCCTCCTTTATCGAATAATATGGTACATTATTATTTATTTCAATCGGATAATACATTTGATTTTCACCGTTAACTAATGGTATTGGCATTGCCATTTGTTCAGCGATATATACAGAGTGTTGTTCATTTATATAATAGTTTCCAGCTACCATACCGTGATTGGCGTTGTTGTTTTGTATTGGCCCCGATGCAATATCCAAATTTGTGAATGTATCATATGGGGGTGATACGTTATAATTATCGTAGCACGACCCACAATAACTGCCTTGAGAAGAAGTTCTCTCCTCTTGACATAGCCCCCCCACGCTAGCGGCCTGCATTGATTCGGGCCCTACCGAGAACCCCGAGATGCCGAATTGATTGAAACTCGGCAAAGGTCTTTGAGAATTATTAAAAGTCCCAAAACTGGGTAACATCTCTGAGGGCTGCTGTTGAAGATGATGCTGCTGGTGGTTCTGGTGTTGTGGCTCCTCCGTAGGACCCGTCATCACTGGATCACCAATAGTAGTTGGTGTGATGTTGATAGGTTGACGCAGGCCCATGTTGATAGAGGGTGTAACGTGGGGGGGCAATTCGTTTGGGTAAATCTGTTGAGGGATCGTATTCACCATTGCAGGGGGCGAAACCATTCCTTGATGAACCTGACCTGAAGTCAGATTATGCTGAGCTGAGTTAAGATTGATGCCCGTGGTTTGCTGCATTGAGATAGGTGAACTCAGTGGATGGTTAATAAGATGTTGATTCGATGTTGAACTCACTGGAGGACTTATTGGCGTAACTAATTGCTGATTCATTTGCGAGTCCATTGGTGAACCCACTGGCATATGGATTTGTTGGTGTTGCTGCTGGTGGTGATGTTGTTGCTGTTGCTGTTGCTGTTGTTGTTGTTGTTGTTGTTGTTGTTGATGATGATGTTGTTGCTGGTGTAAGTGATGTTGCTGCTGTTGTTGATGGAGAACTAGATTTGGCGGGGATGAACGCATCAGAGAGTGGTGTGCTGCCATTGCTGGGAGAGCTGGTGAATTGTGTGGTAACATTGTGGAGCCCAAAACAGCCATTGAAGCTAATGGTTGTTGTTGTTGTTGATGTTGGCCAAGGTTGACAGTTGAAGGTTTGTTGGTGGTGTTGGAGTTGTTATTATAGGTGGTGGTTGAGATGGAGGCATGCATCATTCTTGTTCCCTCGGTTGAAGAACCAGTGGAGTTTGGTGGACTACGCGAGTTTGATAACTCTGGAGATACTCGCGTTATTCCAGTACGCCGAGCGACTCTTCGTTCTTGTCCGTTATCCCTGTTAGGATGGTGATGTGCACTTATCGGTAAGTTAGCCGGATCCGGCCGATTGCTTTGTTTCACGGCATTCTTATGAAGGGTTGTATTGTAGTGTCTTTTCAAATGGCCCGAACTGGTGAACCACTTGTTGCACGCAGTGCAGTTGTAAGACTTTGGTCGTCGTGCCTCGTTACTCTTCCACGATTGATTTAGCGACGAAGATTTCGGTGGTTGTGATAACATTGACGTTGGCATCCCATGCGTGCTACCGATAACGGCGGAACCGGAATGTAGGGACGATTCCACAGACATATGTTGGCCGTGCGTGTATTGTCCTTGATCAGGAATCGGCGGAACATTTTCCATAGGCAGCATGGGTGGGAAATTCCCTGACAAATCAAGTGTAGCACCTGCTGGCCAACCCATCAAACCTTGAAGAACAGGAGCTTGTTGTTGATGTTGCATTGCCTGTTGTTGCTGTGATTGAATCTGCTGTTCTCGTCGATGTTGCTGTTGCTGTTCCTCTTGCTCATGATAAATTCTCATTAAATTTTCATTGTATCTATGAGTTTGTACCTTGTGAGAATCCAAATCGAGAAGCTCGGCTGGTTCCTCTGGTTCTTGTTTCGGTTCCAAGTCTGCATTTGGTTCACCGTTGTACTCGTAACTGTGCTGCTGTTGTTGCTGTTGTTGTTGTTGTTGATTTGAATGAGTTGGAGATACCATCATTTGCGATTGACTCGGAGGAGTCGATGATGAATGCAACTGCGATTGATTCGGCTGAGTTGGAGATAAATGTATTTGCGGCTGACTTAAATGATTAGGAGATAGGTGTAATTGTGGTTGATAGAGGTGTTGATGGGTGCCTAATTGTTGATATTGCGATTGATTCAGATAAATACCAGGTAAGATTGTGCACGTTTTAATGTGCTCACTGTAATAAGTCTCATTCTCGAAAGGGTTACTGCACTTGTAGCAATAAAAAGTTGGACTTCGCGACCCCCGTGAACCGGTAATGTCAGTTGGAAACCGTTGTATATTATCATATGGATGATAACGCGAGGATCCGTGACCAGTTATATTTATATTGTTAGTCATATTTGGATTTGTCGAGTAATTGGAGAACATTGGCTCAGCCTTTATGAAGCATCCGTTTTCATCAAAAGCTACATTTGGATAAGGATTATAACTCTGATTTTGTTGCTGGTGCAACTGCTGTTGATGCTGCTGATGGTGTTGTGCCTGTTGTTGGTGTGGTGTTTGTGATTGATGCTGTGATTGTGACTGTTGGTTTTGTGATTGTTGTTGATGCTGCTTCTGCTGTTGCTTTTGTTGCTTCTGTTGTTTGTGCTGCTGTTGTTGTTGAAGTTGTTGTTGATGTTGCTGTTGTTGTTGTTGTTGTTGGTGCTGTTGATGTTGCTGCTGCTGCTGCTG